GCTGGGTGGGGATCCACGGCATCATACACCCTCCTGTCCCTAGGTCCTAAAATTCCTCTGTTTAATATTCTGGTATAGATTAATTCCTAAGGTTCCTTGTTATCTTGTTGTAGCCTTTCCAGAAATTATGAGAAGCATCTGGCAACTTTATCTTGCCAAGCCTTGAAACTGCCTAGGGAGTAAAATGGCCCTTTTTTGTTTCCTTTCCCCTTCCCCCCCTCTCCTTCTGTAGGGAGGTTTTTGTTGTTCTTTAAAAAAAAATTTTTTTTTTGCTTTGTGTCCTTGGCTGGGGAAGATAATTAATTGTTTGTTAGTTGCCAGCTGGCTGCAAATTGCCTACATTGTTTGGCTTTGTTTTAACTTCCTTTTAACATTTTCCCTTATAAACCTTCTATAATTTCCACAAACCTTTTTTACAACTTTTAGGAATAACTAGTTTTCAAAATGCATCTCTATGCACCATACCTTCTATTACCAAAATCATACAATTTCCAACTATTAATTCCTAGAAGCCTCAATTTCCAATAACCAAGAAAAGCAAACAACCAGCATTCCTTAGATTGACCCCTATGAACATATTTTAAACATACTTAGTTTCAAAGCACATTTTCATCAAAGCAAAAGACATCACAGCTCCAAATTCACTTTACAGACTTTTGGCAAAAAAGATAAAAGCAGGCAATCTAGCAATCAAAGCTGAAATAAGTTAATCTGATCTGCGCACGTGGCTAAATTTTTCCCAGAAACTTGTACTTTTAGAGATGGCCCAGACTAGAGTTTTTGACCAGGCACTTGCATTTCAAAGGTCCTAGGTACTGCAGGGAAGCACTTGTAGAAAGTGCTGAAGGGCCTCAAGCACTGTTGTAAACCCAAACCCTGCAGTGCTCCTCCATTCTATCTGGTGATCTACTGCCCTGATGTATGGAAAATGGCCTGATCTACCACCCCATCCAGCTTCAAATGCTTGCCAGCACATAGTGTAATGTGAACACCGGGCAAGGGCATTCTCTCCTTGGCTCCCCTAACATTCTATTGAAAACCAGAATCCCCACTGGTCCCTACAAGGCCACTGCAAGGAGCTGGAAGAAATCAGGTCTGTGGGGATCAGGCCCAAGGGGTGGGCAAACTTTTTGACTCGAGGGCCACAATGGGTTCTTAAACTGGACCGGAGGGCCGGAACAAAAGCATGGATGGGGTGTTTGTGTGAACTAATATAAATTCAAAGTAAACATCATTACATAAAAGGGTACGGTCTTTTTTTTTTTTTAGTTTTATTCATTTCAAAAAGGCCGGATCCGGCCCGCGGGCCGTAGTTTGCCCACGGCTGGTTTAGACCCTCAGAAAGCAATTCCAATTGAAAAGCCAGTTTAAAAGCAGCCATACTTTTTTTTCTGTCCTTTTTTTCTATCTCAATTCCTATCTACTAGGGTCTCTCAACCCCTAACCCTTATCTCCACCTCAAGGATTTCAAAAGGCTCAAAGAAAGTCAGCCAGAATTTAACTCCAGACACAAAGGAAGGAAGAGAAAGGGAAGAAAAGAACATCCCTGCAGTCAATGGGCAAGGATTCCTCTCTCTCTATTGGAACTAGTAAACTGGCAGGGAAAAGCCTCAGGGAAGGGCCTTGTGTGATTTTACAGGGTTCCTGAGTGTGTGGGCTTTGTCTTGCAGTTGACAGGTTGCCTTGCTCAAACTTCCCCTGTCCATGACCGACTTATCCTGTCATGGGAGTCTTCTAGCAGCGAGAGCCCTAAAGGTTTTCTTTCTTTAAAAATCTTTATTGTTGAAAGTATTATATATGCCCCCTCTTTCCCCCCCATTGACCTCTTCTAGCCTGACCCCGCCCTCCACCCCTATTTTTGTCCATCAGTTTATGTTGTTCATTCCACAAATGAGTGAGATCATGTGATATTTATCTTTTCGCTTAGCATAATGCTCTCCAGTTCCATCCACGCTGTTGCAAATAGTAAGAATTCCTTCCTTTTTACAGCAGCGTAGTATTCCATTGTGTTAGATGTACCACAGTTTTCTAATCCACTCATCTGCTGATGGGTACTTAGGCTGTTTCCAAATCTTAGCTATTGGAAATTGTGCTCCTATGAACATAGGGGTGCATATATCCTTTCTGATTAGTGTATCTGTTTTCTTGGGATATATTCCTGTAAGTGCGATGATTGGGTCAAATGGATTTATGCTCAATTAATATTTGACAAAGGAGGCAAGAGCATAAAATGGAGTCAAGACAATCTCTTCAATAAATGGTGTTGGGAAAATTGGACAGATACATGCAAAAAAAATGAAACTAGACCACCAACTTACACCATATACAAAAATAAACTCAAAATGGATAAAGGACTTAAACATAAGATGGGAAACCATAAAAATCTTAGAAGAATCATAGGCAGCAAAAGAGCAGACATATGTCATAGCAATATCTTTACCGATACAACTCCCAGGACAATGGAAACTAAGGAGAAAATAAACAAATGGGACTACATCAAAATAAAAAGCTTCTGCACAGGAAAAGAAACCATCAACAAAACAACAAGAAAACCCACTGCATGGGAGAACATATTTGCCAATGTTATCTCCAATAAGGGTTTAATCTCCAAAATTTACAGGGAACTCATACAACTAACAAAAGGAAAATAAACACTTTTATTTTCCTTTTATTTTCCTTTTATTTTTCCTAAATAGACACTTTTCGTAAGAGGACATACAGAAGGCAGAGAGACATATGAAAACATGCTCAAAGTCAGTAATCATCTGAGAGATGCAAATCAAAACGACAATGAGTTACCATCTCACACTGTCCGAATGGCTATCATCAACAAATCAATAAACAACAAGTGCTGGCAAGGATGTGGAGAAAAAGGAACCCTCCTGCACTGCTGGTGGGAATGCAGACTGGTGCAGCCACTGTGGAAAACAGTATGGAGTTTCCTCAAAAATTAAAAATGGAACTTCCATTTGACTAAGGTGAATAATTCTTAAACAACTATGGCTCTATTCTTATTATGTGTCATTCCCTACTATCATAACCTTTTAGGGGGGTGGGCATTGGGTGTTAGACCCATTTGTGTCAGACTGGACCTGGGTTCAGCAACCTTGGTACTTGAGTTTTAGCTAGGAAAGAATTAAGAGCCAAGACCAAATCTCTAAGAAAATATTTATTTGGCTAATCACAGAGGCAGAAAAGTAATTCCTAGAAGAAATGGGCTTAGGAAACAAGTTATAGAGGTAAAGGAAGCTTGGGAGTGAGGAAGCTAGTAGTAAGGTGTGTGTGTGTGGGGGGGGCGGTTAGGGAAGGGGAGGAGGAAATGGAGGCACAGGGGTGTTCCTGGGAGGGAGAGCTCACTGGGTCCTCCTTCCTAAGAGTTTTAAGGGTGGAGCTTTGAGAGGAAGATCTAAATAGAATATTCAGCAGTTTTCCAGGTGTGCCCTTTCTGGGTTGTGGTCTCCACTGATTGATTGGCCAGCACCAGGGAAGGGCGTCATTATTCAATGCAGCTGGTCCTTAAGTCAGCTGTGGCTGGTTTTATTGCTAATGTGGACCTACAGCTGAAAAAACTGAGGCCTAGATGTTAACTTTAGGGAGGAAAGGTCACTCTGGGAGTGAGGTCCCACCCTACAATTGTCCTTTGCTAGGAATCTGGGGCTTTCTATCCTGGTGACCTTCTGTACCAGGCCCATTGTCTTTGCTCTGTTCATGTCTACCACAGTATTAACAATTAAAGAAATAAGTTCCAAGGGAGAAAAACAAATTTATCAAGAGTAAATCATTTAGCCCTAGCTGGTTTGGCTCAGTGGATAGAGCAGCATCAGACTGAAGGGTCCTGGGTTCGATTCCGGTCAGGGGCATATACCTGGATTGCAGGCTCATCCCCAGTAGGAGACATGCAGGAGGCAGCCGATCAGTGATTCTCTCTTATCATTGATGCTTTTATCTCTCCCTCTCCTTTCCTCTCTGAAATCCATAAACATATGTTTTTTTGTTTTTTTAAGGGGTAAATCATTTAGCCCTGGCCAGTTGCTGTGGCAGGGGAGCACATCCCCAGTGCCCAATGGTTAGAGTGTAGGCCTGCACACCAAAGCTTCAGGACTGGATTCCTGGTCAATAGCGTTGGGTTGCAGGTTTGATCCCTAGGCCTGAGACAACCAATCATGTGTCTCTCCCACATCAATGCTTCCCTCCCCCCACCCTCTCTCTTTCTTTCCTCTAAAATATCAATGGAAAAAATATCCTCTGGTGAGGATTAACAAGAGTAAACCATTTAGCTCTCAACAAGTATAACTTGGCCCCAGGTCTGGCCCACTCCCTCTCCACTATACCATTTTCAGATAGGTTGTCTCTGTCTTCACCCACTGCTATCTGGTAGTGCCACTTAATGACACTACTACATGCCAGCTACACACCTCCATTTCAGGCAGTTTGCGGCAAAATATCGTTTACAATCAGCGTCCTAACGCCACAAATCATGAGGTCGCTCAGGATCAATCTTAATGTACTTAGGACAAAAGTTCTTTGAAACGTTTTAAACAGTGTAGGTTCAGGTTTTTTTTTAAAGAAGCGCTATCTTGCCACTAGAATTCTGCACAGGCCACCCAAGAAGTAGCGGCGCTGGCCGCCTCCACAGGCCGCTGGACCAGCACCTGCGCAGTCAGTTCTGCCGGCAGCGCTCAGCCCCGCCCCTAGGAGACGCCCCGTCCCCTGGTGAGCCCCAGCGAAAACACCTTTACCATTGGTCTGCGCAGCCGCGCAGGCGCAGTTCGGGCACCACCGCGGGCCCCGCCCCTTTTCCTGTCGCCAGTCTTTTGAGTCTGGTTTGCGAGGTGACGTTGGAACCCGAGGGTGCGAAAAAGCTGGGTCGTGGACCCCCGCCAGGTCTCAGCACCACGGAGGTGCCGGGTGTTGCC